AGATGGAGTTCACTGAGGCCGAGAGCAACATGAACGACCTGGTGTCCGAGTACCAGCAGTACCAGGACGCCACGGCCGACGAGCAGGGGGAGTTCGAGGAGGAGGAGGGGGAAGACGAGGCTTGAGCCCCGGGGCGGGGCAGGGCGGGGGCTTAGCGTGGGGACCCCGGGGCCGGGCGAGGCTGCATGGTCCACTGTAGGTGTGTGCGCTGGGGCTCTGGGGCCCTGCACTGTGGCCGGTCACGTTTTTTTCTCTTTTTGTAAGATGACATCAGTATAACATTGGAGGTATTTCTGAATTACTGTTGTAATGGCTAAAATCACATAAACGTTTGTGTCCTGATGGTGTCCTCTTTTCTTTCTCTTCGTTTTGCTCTCAATTTAAATGTAACTTTCTGAACACATTCTCTTAAATTCTCCCTTTAAAAAAGTGAAGACATAGGTACAAAGCTCAACTGAGTTTACTTTTTTGGCATGGTAAAGCTGAAGCCCACTGCAATCGTACCTAATTTAAGATGGGAGAGCAACCTGAATTGTAAAATGCCTTTAAGTAAATATTTTATTAGTTGGAAGGGTGCCTAATTGAAAGCACACTAAGTGTGTTTCCACGTAGCAATTCTACTATGCCTTTATTTCCTTCCAAAAAAATTTTTTCTGAATAGTTCTTGCATGCACACAAAACAAAATTCTAGAGGAGGGTGAAGGGTCAGTGGCCCTCCTCCTGTGTTCATGGTATGCAGTGTTCCTACCTGCAGGGCTGTCATTGCTTTTATGATTCTTACATCCTTGCAGAAATACTCCATGTATTTTCAAACCAATGCTGATTATTTCCCTTTTTTCTAAACACACGTGGTATGATACTAACACTGTTCCGTGGTCTCCTGTCTTCACTACATAGTGTATCTTGAAGATTCAGAGTTTCCCTCCTTTAAGTGAATACATAGCATCCCTTACATGGTTGTGCCATGTTTCATTTAGCCAATTCCCTACCAATGGACATTTAGGTTGTTTACATGTTTTCTTCTAGTACAGTGCCACAAAGAATATTTCTGTGCATATATCATTGTGCACTTGGGAATAGCTAGCCTGTAAATTTGTATAAATGGAATTTTCTGTCAAAGGATATACGATACTTTGCCTTTTTAAGTTAATGAAATCACCTGTAATTAGGAATAGGCATAGATTTATAAATAGTTAATTAATAGGCTCATTCTCAATCAATCTTTTCCTCCCAGCAATCATTCTTATACTATGTTACAAACTATTTGTACTTAAGTTAACTTCGTTTGAGTTTATATGGAATTATAAGTTCTGGATTGTTGGAGAATTTTACTTTAAATAGACAAGCCACAATAATTTTCGGTTACTGCATTCTTACCATGCAGAGCTGGCATTTGGGATTTGAATGCAACCCTGACTCTAGACTTGAACTCAACCACTGAAGCAGCTATGGGGTTTCAATAATCAGTTTTCAGTTAAGATGCTTCTGTGGGATAAATTGTACTTTGCCAAAATGGTGCTGGTATTCTGCTTCAATCTGGGCCAATCAGTTTCTCATTTGGGGGAGAGAAGTGGAATGGAAGTTGTAAATGTGCAAAATTTATTTACATACTCCTGTAGGAAGAAAAACAAAACTAGGTTTATTGTTTTGTTTGTTTTTAGACAAATTCAAAATTAGAAAAAACATGGCTAAATCCTACCTTATATTTATTTTATTATTCTTGATTCTACTCCTACTTAAATGTTATTAAGAAAAAAAAAAGAAGGAATATGAATGTAGAGAAAGGATTTCCATGTTAATGAGTCCGAAATATATCTGAAAATAATTCCAAAGAAAAGTATAAGCAGTATCATTCTAAACAGCACGAGAATAAGTTAATTCTACCATATGGCTCCTATCAGTGAAAAAGCAGCAGTTCACTTTACAAGTATTACATTTCACAAAAACTTGACTGGGTGATGAGAAGGGTCAAACAGGTGTCGGGCCAGTGGCACCAGCTCCAATTTTCTATATTTAACAGCCAGCTGGCAGGTGTCATTCCTGCTAAGCTGGCATAAAGCTTCAAACAACCTAATTGGCTTTACAAGTATTACATTTCACAAAAACTTGACTGGGTGATGAGAAGGGTCAAACAGGTGTCAGGGGCCAGTGGCACCAGCTCCAATTTTCTATATTTAACAGCCAGCTGGCAGGTGTCATTCCTGCTAAGCTGGCATAAAGCTTCAAACAACCTAATTGGAGGACGGCATTGGTTTTAAATGCCCTGAACACTTGAGACAGATGCCAAGGCCACTGTCCTTGGCCATGCATTCCTACAATCTGCCAGACAGGTGATCAGCAATGTTGGAGAAGAGGAGGACTGCCAGGGCCAGGTGCCTCTTGGCATACTGGATATGTCCTGCTTCTCTTCACCCTTGTGAGGAGGGAGCAGGCAGGCGCCAGCACGCTGGCACACCTGCGACTGCGCACAGCTGGAGCTTACTGTGGCATGAAACTGACCAGTCAGGCAGATGCTCCAGGGCCTCTAAAAGCACAGTGATATAAGGTAGACTTTAAATGCATACTTAGGAAAGCAGTTGAAAATCAGGAAAATGCTCAGAGTAACACCTGGATTAAGAGATACTCCATTATGTTATGTTGTGTGATGGGCTTTGATGTGGTGGTGGTGGTGATGTTATCGGTAGTTGTATTAGTCCATTTTTGTATTAGTCCATTTCTGTTGCTTACAACAAAATACCTGGAACTGGGTAATTTGTAAGAAAATGAAATTTATCACTAACAGTTTCTGAGGCTGGGAAGTCCACAGTCTAGGGAACACATCTGGTGAGGGTCTTCCTTGGTGGTGGCTTCAGCAACACGGGTTATCACATTGCAAAATGGCAGAAGCAGAACCACACCCACAACCACTGTTAAACCATCGATTTAATCACCTCTTCAAGGCCCCACCTTTCAATTACCATAATAGGATTTTAACACCCACCGTTTTAACACTGTCTCGGTGGAGACCAAGCCTCCAACAGATTAAACTGCGGGGACACAATTCAATGGAGAGGATGGTGGTGATCGTAGAGTGTGTGTGTGGGTGTGTGTGTGTGTGTTCTCAACAATTCCCCCCAAAAGTGTTCTATCCCTCCCTGACGTTCCCAGAGGAGGAGGATATTCACTTCTGGGTAGGCAGAGTACCCAAGTTATAAGACTCACTGGGACATGATACAGGATTCAGAGGCTGAGGTTATGGAGGGGAGTTGGAGTCACCCTGAGGTCATCCTTAGAGTCTGAGAAGAAACTCAAACCCCATTGTGCCCCAAATTGGCCTGCACCTCTACCTCAGTCCTCAGAATGATCAAAGACTATGTTATATTTCCCATTTCATCACTAAAAATGTGTTAGATTTACCACAATTTGAAAAGTAACCTTCCGAGATCATCTCATTTACCCTCCTCCCCGTGTTAAGTAAGGAAACAGAGGGTCAGACACTTTCATGTAAGACCCCAGAACTCTTCCGTACAAAGCGAGGGTCTCAGACCCAGTGCTCTTTTCTCGACAGCTGTGTTGCTCAGGTCCTATTACACACAAAGCACGTGAGTATTATGAAAAAGGGAAGATGAATTTCCTGGCTTCAAGGAAAACCCGAAGGTGTGCATTGGT